TTCTTGTTCAGGCCCTCAGCTAAAGCTAACATTAGCTACCTCATTATTTTCATTTGCTTCACCACAACTTCTCAGGATTCCATAAATTCTATTATTTTTGAATACTTAATTTGTTTATATGGCTCAAAAATTTAAACTATACGAAAATATTAAAAACGAATTCTCCCCGCTCCCTGCGTTCACACCCTCTGTGCTCCCCGCCGGGGCAGCTGCTTGTGTTAGCCCCCATGTGTTCCTCCAGCGTTCCTTGTGTTAAGGACAGCCTTGTTGAGATACACCTCATATACCGCACCACTTACCCAAGTGTACAGATCAACGGTGGTTAGTGTGTTCACAGAGTTGAACAATCACCACCACAATCAATTTCAGGACATTTTCATCAGTGCAAAAGAAACCCTGTACCCACTGACACGCGCTCCTTTCTCCCGGTTGTATGTGGGGGGCCTGTGGCTGGTGTACTGAATTAAGAACACCCAGATTACGACCTGCTGAGTGAGAGGCACACGGTCCCCGTGGGGCTGCAGGCAGCTCCCTCTGCACTGAGCTCCCACTTTGGGGAAGTAAAACCCTGGGGTCATTTCGAGGGAAGGTGCAGTTTCAGTACACTCACATGAAGGAAGTAAAGTCACAGACTTATTACTTACAGATCCCAGAAGAGGGGGTGCGGTGAGCGGGGGCAGGGGCAGTCCTCCTTCCCAGGTCACCAGCGAGCAGGAGATGGAGAGCAGGATGGCAAGCACCTGTCACTTACAAGGCGGTTGGGGAGGAAGTCTCTCATTTTTCTGGGCTGGACTCTAAGTGGTTATTTTAGAAGGTGCCCCAGGGGGAATAAAGGGGCACTTATGCGGGAATCCTCAGCTCAGCTCCCTCTCTCAGCGCCCTGACTCGGTGTGAGCAGGGCTGTCACCATGATGCCGAGTCAGCGACTCAGAAGGGCCGTGTCCTCACCACAATCGGTTTGCAGTGCTCCCTTCAGCCTTTACGTCTGTGAGGGCCATGCTGATGTCTCCTCTTCATTCTTGATCTTAGTAATTTGAGTCTTCTCTCTTTTTTCCTCTTGCTCAATCTAGCTAAAGATTTGTCAATTTTGTTGAAGCAACTTTTGGTTTCATTGATTTTCTCTATTGTTTTCCAGTGTTTCTTTTTGTTAATACAAATATATATTCTTATTTTTCCTTCTTCCTTAGGCAACAGGTAGCATACTACATACCCTGAACACTGGTATATGCTGAAGGATGTACTCCAGGTCAAAGAAAAATGATCCTAAATAGATCTGAGATGTAAGAAGAAATGAGGAGCCACAAAAGTGGTAAATATGTCATTAAATCTTAATAAACATTAAAACACATATTAGTCCTGTGAAACAGAAAAAAAGAAATACACAGGGTCGGCCCTGTGGCTTGGTGGTTAAGTGCGTGCGCTGCGATGCTGGT